AGGGTCGACCTGTCACCTTTCATTTTACACGCATGTCCGTCCAAAATATCACCACTGCATCGTTTCACCGTTAAACATTTGTGTGTTGTTATCTTTTGCTCTGGATACTTAGATTAAAGTTTTTTGTGAGGTCAGTGATCAGTTAAGTCTTGAGCTTTACTCACCTCTGCATGGAACACATTTTAGTATCAATACACAGACACACAGAGCATTAAATGTCAGAATGGACAGATTGATGTTCAAACCACTGCAGACGGACCTGCATTCTTTGGCCAGGAGTCTCTCCCAGTACTGGCAGTCTGCAGCGCTGCCCGACATGGTGCCCAGCAGGTAGGGGTTGATCTCTATCACCTTGTTGACGTCGTTGGACGCTGCAGAGCGGGACACATTTGTGTAAAGAAGACATTCTGTGAGCTCAGAGTTTCTCTTGTTGCCTCATTTACTTTGTATGGTTCCGTGTTCCTCTGTGTTACATGTCAAAGCTCCACACATCTGTGATATGATGCATGAGAAATAAAAACGTGTCTACCCAAGTAACGGCCTGCTGAGGCTCTGGAGTCCACAGCCACAATGACTCCATGTCTGAACTTGAAGGCCAGGGTGGTCGTCCCGTGGTTCAGGTCTATACTCACACCACCATCACGGCTGCAGGTTCCTAGAAACCCTGAAGGCTAAAATAGAAGCAAAGAGGAGATCTCAGTGGGTGGAATCACGCGTGTCGGTGCAGTGTGTGTGTGTGTTATTCCACAGTAACGTGTAAGATGAATGCATCATTTGAAGCTGCAGGAGAAGCGAACGCGACCACAGACGCGTAAAAGACGTTGAACCACCGCGCGTCTGACGCGTCACGCTTGTTGCATCAGGATCACCTGATACGATGCAGACTTTTCATTTTGTAGCAAAACTCGGTGAAATGAGACTCACGTCTACACCCAGAGGGACAGCAAATTCCTGCGTTTTGGTCCCGAAGTTGTAGTGGTTGGTTCGGTCGAAGAGATGCGTCTGTCTGGCTGGAAGAATCTGCTCACGGAGTTCAGCATAAGACTTCAAACCAGATACTTGGAAAAGAGCCATTATGTATTCGACTATATTGTGATTATATTCTGCTCTTTAAGTTTTAAGAAATGACGAAAGTCTCTGAAGAAGCGTCACGGATAACTTCCTGGGAAGGGACGATGAATTCGAAAGCGAAAGGTTTTAAAAGCTGTTTTATTGTAAATAAATGCTAAAAGAGCCAGCTAGCTACATAAAACCAACAAGTATACACGAATACGTTCAGCTGGTCATCATATAACTTATAACCTGATTTGATCGAAACAAATGAAAGAAAACTGTGGTTAGAATCGTGCTGTTAATAAAAACAACGCAGATCGCATCGACCAATAGGAGAGCACTGTGTGTGTGTCGTCATCAGTCACTAAGCAAGAAGCAGCGATCAGGTTTGCAGAAAAGCAGAGGTCAATGACGTCATCAAAGCGTGTTTCTAAATTCAACAATACACTGTATCTACTGTAGTCGGGTTAATTGAGTATTACCGCATATATATGACTTGAAAATATATTATATATAGCTGCAATATTAAATTGAACTGTATCTACTCCAGTCAGGTTGATGAAGTATTGACATTTTGTCACGATTTGGGTTTTTATTTTGTAGTTTCATGCCTCTGGTGTTCCTTAACTTCACCTCCTGCCTTGTCCTGTCATCCCTGTTGTTTTCTGCCGTGTCCATGATTGTTTCCACCTGCATCACCTGCACCTTCCCCGTGTATTTAAGACACGTGTGTCTCTTGTCCCTTGTGGTGTCATTGAATGTTTTGGACGTTCTGCTCGTCTGTCGTCATCTTGCCTTGAGTTCCCGGTCCATGTCTGCCCTTTTGTGTCCATGTTTTTTCCCTTGGCCCTGCTTTAATCTTAATAGTACATTCAGTAAATAATTGCAAAATATGTAAATGGAGTGTAATAGAATTCAAACACGCAATCAATGCGGGTTCTAAATTCCTATTTATAACAATACACTGTATCTACTGTAGTCGGGTTGATGGGGTATTAGTATATATAAATGCACTCATTTAGGCTTGAAATATTACATGTATAATAAATTCAGTAGATAATTTTAAAATATGAAAATAAACAGCAACAGGGATGGAATAGAATTTCATTCAATTTGAATTTTTATTTTATTTTAGAATTTTTTCATCTGAGACACATGAAACAGTTTCATGTGTCACCTCACAGTGAGGAATAGAAACCATGACAATGTTTATTAACTGATTTTCACTGCTTGCATTTTATTTTTTAAGTGCATGACCAAGCAACACAATAAAAGCCTTCACACTTTTCTGCTAAACGTGTTGTTATAAGGTGTGACTGCATCGCGGATCAGGCTGTATCCATCCGCTGCACAGTCTCCTCTACAACCTCCAGCTTTACAGGGACTACTTTCTCCGTCAGAACCGCTGTTGTGCCTGCACCATATTTGTATTTTGTTTTCCTAGAATAGAAGAATAGATGGTTAGAGGGATTCAATAACTGAAAAGCAAACATGTTATTGTATAATCACATACAGTCTGATATCTACCGCTCTGAGAGGGAAACCTTTAAAGTCGCAGTGTGTAGAGTTAGAGGTATTTATGAAGAAAGTAAATGTAGTATTCATAGCATGTTCTCACTGAAGTATAATCACCTGAAGCTAAGAATCATGTGTTTTCTTAAGCTCTGAATGAGCCCTTCATATCTACAGGAGCGGCTCCTCTTCATGGAGTTCCATGAGCAGCCATGTTTCTACAGACTGAATACTGGCTCTAGAGAGCCGTCCTTGTTTTACATCATTTGACTCACTTGGAAAGGAAGGGAAACAATCTGCAGCCTCATCACCAGAGACTGAATCCTGCACACAGCTCCTTTAAGAATCGACCCATGCAGCAGAACTCAGTCACACTCGTACCTTTTGTCTTTGTACTGTGACACCTGGTACGGTCTGATGTGGTCCACTCCTTCTCTGGTGAGGACACAGATGTCGATGTTGTTGCCTGAGGCGAGGTCATTCATGACTCCCGCGTGGATGGCGGCACGCACCAGCTCCTTCGCCTTGTCCAGCTGAGAGTTACAAGAATTCAGGGAAATGACAGAGAGAGAAATTCCCCAAATAACAGTTTTTATAATTTGTCATCCAATAGTGACAGAAATAAATGCTTTTTAAAAACATTTTCCATATTATCCTGACTATCAATCCTTGTCACAGTGTGTAACAACAGCTGTCCAGGAGGCGTACCTCCAGGTCGGGTTTGTACCCGTCCTCTAGAATCCCCAGAGCAGCCAGATCCCCAGAGCCTGCAGGAGGAAACACACATGTGGTCTGAGAGGGAATCGATTGAATGAGTCCAGCAAACTCAAATGTTATTCAAAACGGTGAATGTTATAGAGCCACGATGCTTAGAGAATATTGTTCCATCACACACGTACCCATTGCAAGGTACGGCATCGTATTCACGCTGCCGTACGGCCCCACCGTGTACAGGTGGTTCCCAGTGCAATCTACTCCTCCCAGTATAAGACTGGCCCCAATTTGGCCGTGATACCTGAGGAACACACGGATCAGAACAGGGCTTTTAACGGGTACTTTAACTCATTCACACACCGGTGGATACAAGCTCATGTGCTACACAAACCTGTACAACATCTCCTGGAGTATGTTGACGGCCATGACGACACGAGGGTTCCTCCCGCTGTTCAGGGAGAAGATGGTGAGGTTGGAGGAGAGGAGCTCAGTGGTCTTCTCTGTATCTGCTGCTGTTCCTGCTCCACAACAACTAGGAGGAGAGGAAGGAGTGTTTTGTGAATAGAGAGTTGAGGGAAAATATGACAAAAAGCTACAGGGAATTGGGAAAGAGAGAGTAGAGGAACTGCGGCATCCTTTCTGAAACTGTTTTGCTTCAGCAGTCATAGAAATCCATTATACCCAAAGAGTCGCAGCGACTTATTCCATCTCCTGCAGTAGCCTCAGTAGTGCAGAATGCACCACAAGAACAAGGACCTAAGTTCTTAATCTGAGGGCACTAAGGCATTCTGGGATATGTAGGAAATCACAAGTAAAGGAGACTTATGTCCACAAAAAGGAACATACGTTTCATTCTGATAACAGTGAGAGTATTTTAAAGGTGGATCTCCTGTTACTTTCAGTGTGTCGTATACAAGACTTACTATATATTTGGAGCAATGTAATGGATCTTGGAGCACATCTTGTCAGCCACTATTTCACTGGATGTGGCTCTTGTGTCTGCTCCCAGAACCACTCCATCCTGCACCCACACACACCGAGCGGGAGGTGTGTTACTCTAATTGTTATACAATTATACACTTTGCTTTACACTAGAACAAGACATTTAAATCTCAGTGGTCCCACAGGAGCTAAACAGGCCCCAGCAGTGCTGTGATACACTGGGCAGATCCCCTCAGTGTATTTATGCATTCATCATCATTGTTGTTAACACGGACTGTCCTGTTCCGTTATGCAGAGATGACAGGGAAAGGAAACAGTGTGGTCGACTTTAACAGGGTTAAATAATGCAATTCAGGGTAAATGCAGATGTACACAGGTGTGTGTACTCGCCTTGAACACCACTCCCGCTATGGTGGTGCCTGTTTTCACAGGTTTAGGTATCTGTGCATCAAACAGACCCTCTAACTCAGCATTCCTGGAGAGGGAGGGAGAGACAGGGTTCAACTTATGCATGTATGTAATATATATATAATATGGACAAATCATCACCAAGTCGTTTCATTGATCAACGTGACAAACAAGCAGGGAAAGTTACTTTCACTTTGGATCTCTAATGGATTGAAAGCTGCGTGAGTAACACAGCTTCATTGGTTTTTCTATCTAAGTCACAATCTGCTGCCTATGAGCCAAACAGAAGCTCCTACCTGGCTGCGTGGTCGAAGTTGAACCCCGCTGCAGGAGCGTGGAGGACATTTGATAGCGCCATAGTGGATCCTGGTCTGCGGCTCCTCTGCGCGTCTCGATGCGCCTGAGGTCGCTGTTCGGAGCGTCGCCTCCTTCTTCTCTTTCGGTTTTGCTGTGAAAATGGAGAAACGCAGCGTGGACTCGCGGGTCAGAGGAGTCAGCACAGGGGTGAGTAAACCCGGACCGGCTCCTTAGTGTCACCGTACAACCCGCTGAAGGATGAAATGATCGATACGTGATTCTGCGGATGAACAGGTGAGACTTTAAGTTACCTGAAAGGAAACCAAACACTACGAGGACCGGACCTGTCGCGTGTTTTAACATCCCAGGTGTTTGCACGTTGGACCTGAACGAGTCACATCTGTACAACATCTTCTAGAACGGAATATGCAGAAAAGCGACAGGCTACACATTTATTCTCAGTTTTAAAAAATCCGCACAGAAACTCTAAATCCCATGATGCATAGCGGCGGCGCTCAGAGTTGCTGACATGGACACGTAAGCCTCCTGCTGCGTTTGGCTTGATGTAACTACTTATTCATTACTTGCATGTGAGAACACCCCCCCCTTCTCTCCCCCAGACCACCATCCTGGCTGCCACTTTTGATGGAGGGGTTGTGATTGGTTCAGATTCCAGGGCTTCCATTGGAGGGTGAGCGTGCTGGGAAGATACACTGCAGATGCCGACATTGTTAAACATATTTGTAGGAAACAGGAATGTCGCTGTGACTGTGGTGGAGGAACACAACCGAGGGCCGGTGATCCAAGTCTCTTCATCACATTCCTCTCTCTCTCTTCAGGGAATATGTGTCATCTAAGACCATCAACAAGGTGGTCCAGGTTCATGACCAGATCTTCTGCTGCATGGCCGGCTCACTAGCAGATGCTCAGGCCGTCACCAAGGCTGCAAAGTTCCACCTGTCCTTCCATAGGTGCCACACACGCATATCAATACAATAGCACATGTTTAGCAACTATGCGCACAAGCAAGTAAGCTGAATCACATTTTCACATCATTCATTAAAATAATAATTTGTTAATCATATTTTTATTCCTCCAAGAGGAGAAGACAGTTGACAGAGTTGTGTGCAAAACCAACTAACAAACTAGTTGTTACACTGACAGCTATAAAAAAATCATTAGAGAGCCCAAAATAATAGTTTCAAAGTCTCTTCATCGTGGAAATGACCCCCCCCATTCCACAGTGTCCAGATGGAGACCCCTCCACTGGTGATAGCAGCAGCATCGGTGCTGCAGGAACTGTGCTACAACAATAAAGAGGAGCTGCAGGCGGGCTTCATCACAGCAGGCTGGGACAGGAAGAAGGGCCCTCAGGTGGGGGCTGGTCGGGGTGACAGTCACACAGGAAGCAGAGACACAGCGGTCCAAAGTAACTCCACCTACTGGCGTGTGGCTGCAGTCCTGATACCCTGCGTCCCTCTCCAGGTGTACGTGGTGCCTCTTGGTGGGATGTTGGTCGGTCAGCCGGTGACCATCGGAGGCTCAGGCAGCACCTACATCTACGGCTACGTCGACGCCAAATACAAACCCAACATGAGCAGAGAGGAATGCCTGCAGTTTGCCACTAATGGTACTGTCGTGGTCGTTTACTTGAGCGCGCAGACCTAAATACGCTGATACTTGTTTTGTGTTTTTTGGGGGGAAACTGGCTTGTGATTCTACGATTCCAGTATAATGCAGAAAATGAGAATAAGTCTTTGTTGGTTGTTTGCTCGGTTTGTTACAGTTAGAAATGAAAAACACTCAATTTGAGGGCAACCACAGCTCAGCCGGGACAAAGGCCTCTGGTTGCACTCAAACTGGGTGGTTTGATGTACATCTATGTTGTAGTTGGTGCCCATGCAGCCTTTAGGAGGTGTATAAACGCTGCATGCTGCTTACCCTCAGTTGTTAAACCTTTATTTGTCCTGCTTGCTGTCCGTCCCCCCCTGCTCTGTCCTCCCTTTGCTTCTCTCTGGGTCACAGCTCTGGCTCTCGCCATGGGCAGAGACAACGTCAGCGGAGGCGTGGCTCACCTTGTGGTCATCACGGAAACTGGGGTGGAGCACGTGGTTGTCCCCGGCAACAAGCTGCCCAAGTTTCACAACGAGTGACAGCGTCCAACAAACAATGAATTTTTGACTTTTGTTTTTTATCGTTATGTCAGTAACTGTTTGAAATTCCTGATCCACAATCTCATCAATAATGTACCGTATAGGACTGGGATGTAACACACTACACACACACAACCTTTGGACAGCCTTTAGGAGGTGTATAAACGCTGCATGCTGCTTACCGTCAGTTGTTAAACCTTTATTTGTCCTGCTTGCTGTCCGTCCCCCCCTGCTCTGTCCTCCCTTTGCTTCTCTCTGGGTCACAGCTCTGGCTCTTGCCATGGGCAGAGACAACGTCAGCGGAGGCGTGGCTCACCTTGTGGTCATCACGGAAACTGGGGTGGAGCACGTGGTTGTCCCCGGCAACAAGCTGCCCAAGTTTCACAACGAGTGACAGCGTCCAACAAACAATGAATTTTTGACTTTTGTTTTTTATCGTTATGTCAGTAACTGTTTGAAATTCCTGATCCACAATCTCATCAATAATGTACCGTATAGGACTGGGATGTAACACACTACACACACACACACACACACACACACACACACACACACACTCCTTAAGAACAAGACAATGAACATGATTAGTTTACTGCCAATGACAAATTGTAAATGTGGAAACAGTGATGATAAGTTTCATTGATCTGGTGAAAACTAGTTGTTATAAAATCAATATCCTAAAAAACGACAAAATGCTACTTCCATCTCTTGTAATTAACGGCTCCATCAGCCTTTTGCTTTTTCCAGATCACATTTTGTGTAGTTGATTTTATATGTTTGGGAATATTTGAAATATAAATGAAGAGTCTACATTGTAAAAATGGTTTGTACTACTTTCTATTTGTTGAGCGCTTTAAAATATATTCATCATTATTATACGACGTGTTCTACAAATGACCGTCCTTGTTTCCTGAATCAGTTCATGGTTTGAATGTACTCGGATGCAGAGCGTTTGTTTTGACTATTTCATGGCTGTGGATTCACTTTGTGGCCCACAATCTAACAGTTAGTACGTCACACAGTCTGAAACGCACTTAAAGACGAGTCCGTCACTCAAAAGTGTCGGAGGGACCAGAATAAAAAGACACAGTCCAACATGTGTCAATACAATCAATCCAGTTCATGTTCTGCTTTCTGTTTAGAGCTCTGTCGTCCTCCGCTGTAGCTGTAAAGCTTTAAAAACAATTATTTGATGGAAAGAAAATGTATTGGATGTTATCTGGATTGTGAAAAAACACTTTATGGTTGTAGCTCCATTGTTGTTGTTCCTCCTTTTTACTCCTTTACTTTTATTTATTATAATAATAGTGAGTGACTCTCCACACTGGGGTCCTTTGGCGTTGCTACAGCTAACAGCTAACCGTCTGTCTCCAGTGTCTTCGGGGACGTCTGGTAACGTGTCCCCTTAAACTGGACCCAACCAACGCGTATCACCACCTGACCAAGAAAGGGGGCTTCACACCTGTTAAGCAGGAGACTTTGCTCCCCAGGAACGGACCCCTTAACTCAGCCGACCTGCTGTCCTCTTGGACAGATGGTCCCCTGGAGGCCAGAAGTGAGGCAGAGAGGCTGCCGGGTAGCTGGTAAACAATAAAGTCATCTCAATCGATTCTCTTCCTACACTCAGCTACACTCGCTGTACAATAAATACGTTTGTCAGAGGTCAACTATCTATTCTTTCTAGTTCTATCATACTGCAAAAAAACGTTCTTCTTGTTAATCAACATTTATTGTTGTGATGAGTTATTTACACGTTTCATAACACTTTTATAAAGGCTTTGAAAACTGATTTGGTCCCCCCCCTCAAAGAGGACTCAATGTTCGCTGAGTTTAAGTGCATTTCAGTGCAAATCGGGACACACTGTCCGTGTTTGCAGCTCGTTGCAGGAGGAACAACTTCACTTTCAATTTCGATTTGATTGAGGACAACATGGAGTCCGTGTGACGTGCGGACAAACGCGTCGAGAACACGTCCAGAGACTCAAAGAGGCTCCCCGAGGAAAACGTCGTAAACCCGGACTGCTCGAGTCAACGTTTGGCTCAACATCGCTCGGTCGGTACCAGAAGCGGATCAGCATGTTGCAGGAGACGGGGACGGAGTGGTTGTCTCAGGAGGTGAAGACCGGAGTAAGTAGACGTCCTACACGTCGGAGACCGCGCCGAGAACCGCTGCATATGAACCCTGAAGGACCTCTACCTCTGTTTGCAGACCACCATCATCGCCGTAGAGTTTGACGGAGGGGTCGTGCTGGGGTCTGATTCCAGAGTGTCTGCAGGGTGAGCTCGCGCGTGCGCGTGCGCGCCTACTTGCGTCTGCATGCGCGGTCCAGTTCTACCTGCATGATACCGCCTCTCTCTCTGAGGAAACATAGTATTATATGTGTTAGATAGTATTTGCATGAATGCTTACTGACACTAAATCCTTCCACCTGTTCGTCTTTAACATGCAGTGTCACTAGTTTAGACATTTTGGATGATTAGAACGAAATGACATCATATATGTTTTTCTTACAACATTTGGATCCACCAATGTTGCTGGATGGACACATGGAATAAAATAATAGTGGCTACTGTAACAGGATAGTCTGCTAGACAAGTACACTTAACTGTGGGCAATCAGATGGTTACACGTAGAACTACGGAGCCTTAAGGAATAAATGTCAGCAGAGAAAGATCACACAATGAAGACACTGGAATCAGAGGGTAGAATTCTATAGAGTAGAAATGAAGTGCTGTCAGTAGCGTTGCATGCTGGGTGTTGATTGTTACTGAGACAATGACACACAGCTGAGCTTCCATCCAGAAATACAAAAAGTAGCAGGGTGCAGATGCATTCGCACAAAGCCAAACTCCCCCTGTTCCTCCCTCCCTGCAGGGCGTCGGTGGTGAACAGGGTGATGAACAAGCTGTCTCCCCTCCATGACAAGATCTACTGTGCTCTGTCCGGCTCTGCAGCCGACGCTCAGACCATTGCCGAGGTCGTCCACTACCAGCTCGATGTCCACAGGTGAAGACACATTCAGTACCACGGTACAGCGTTTATCTTGGGCTGTTTTCATTGGATATCCTGTTTCCTCCCTCCGTCAGTATCGAGATCGATGAGGACCCACAGGTTCGCTCAGCGGCCACTCTGGTGAGGAACATCTCGTACAAGTACAAAGAGGAGCTGTCGGCCCATCTCATCGTGGCCGGCTGGGACAGAAGAGACGGGGGACAGGTCAGTAAAAACATGGCAGAGATTCAAGCCATTAACAAGAAAGATTACCGGGGCATGTTAATGATGTCAAAATGAATGTCTGCTACTTGGGCTAAAGTGGCGTTAAGGTTGCATATCAAAGATAAAATCCCATCCAGCCAACAGATATGATGTTACAGGAGTCCATTCATCTGACTTGCTCCTGTCTGCTCCTGTGCCCTTTGACCTCTCCCAGGTGTTTGCCACCCTGAGTGGTCTCCTGACGAGGCAGCCCTTTGCCGTGGGCGGCTCTGGAAGCTCATATGTTTATGGGTTTGTTGATGCTGAGTTTCGCGGAGGCATGAGCAAGGAGGAGTGCCAGCAGTTTGTTGTCAACAGTACGTTGGTTTTCTCCACACAAAGATTTTTTTTTCCTCAGACGGTTTATTTGAATGTGAAAGAGACACCAGACATTTGCTTCCTACTGACTGCTTGTTTTATTTATGTGAGGTGACACATGTTGTCTAATAAAACCTCTCCTCTCCTTCCTCACGCCTTCTCTCCTCTTCCTCTCGCAGCTCTGTCTTTGGCGATAAACCGCGATGGCTCCAGTGGAGGCGTGGCCTATATTGTGTCCATCGATGAACACGGCACGGAGGAGAAAGTGGTTCTAGGAAATGACTTACCCACCTTCTTTGACCAGTAACACTTCCTATTTCCTATTTCCTCGTCTCTGGTCTGCCAAGCTGCTGCTGTGCGGGATGCAACTAGTTTTTCAGTTTGCTCACAATACTTTGGTTCTTCTGTCAGCTCATGCAGCTTATCAACTAGAAAAGCACCACATCAAAATACTTACTAAAACGTTTAATTCAAATAAAATCATTGCATGGCTCTGTGATACGCTATGTCATTAAAAATCTAAAAGTAATTTGTGGTTCATTATTAAGATAATTATAACAAACAAACTCTTATTTGGTCAATTAAGAGTAATGTTTTATTTAGTTGCCGACAGATGTTTGCTTTTGAATGGCCGAAGCCAATATGGGGAGAGAAAGGCTGATACGTCTTTATTTAGTTTTTGCATCTGATTAAAGAAAACAATTGTATAACAATAACACATTAAACACATTATTTAAGGCCTTTACAAACTGAATGTCTAGCAAATACATGAAATGATGTTTTGTGGGTTTTATTTTGAAGGATAAGAATGGAGGGCAAAAAAGTAAAAGTAAATAAAAGAGTTATTTAGTGTCACAAGCATCTAAAGAGTCAAAGTCAAGTTTGTTATTCACATTATTATTCCCTCTTATCTTCACTGCTAATCAGACTAAAGTAAGAAGCCTAAGCGGTTGATTGTTGTTCATCCTGCTTAAACATAAGTCTACATGCTTTCTGATTATACTTTATCGTTCTTTTATATGATTTTCTTTCATGTGCAATTTAATAAAAATAAAAGCCTGTGTAATTTACTGTTTTATTTTTGTTTTTATTTACAATGAATGGCTTTGGACTTTAATGCTGGTGTAATGTTCTCGTGAAGTTAGTGATAATAAAAGATAGTTTACATGTGTAACCCACTCAGTTTAGGAACCCTAAATAGTTCTATAGGGAGCCGTTAGGATTTGGGGGAAACCAGACAATGAAAGTGAAAGTGGACCAAACATCAGACTGCAGCGACAGAGAAGGTTATGCAGACGACTGTAGCTGCATGACGACAGCCGATATGGCAAAAGTAACCCGCAAAGGCATCGCTTTGGTGTCCGCAGTCTGCGTGGACCTGTCCTTGTTTTACGCAGCGGGACTGGTGGCGACTCGCAGCGTGTTTGGACAC